AAATCAAAATGTTAAACTGGGACTGTAGTAATAATCAAAACTTAGAGTTAATAGTCAGCACTAACCAGTTATGCGACGACTTTGCAAACCCATCTGACCGTTACAGAATTGAAAGCGGTTGATCGATTTGCTACACCATTGGGATTACTAAGGTACAAAGCACGATTTCAAGAACCTAATTCTTGTGAGGGACAACAGGCTTTACAGTAATCCTTTTGCCTGAGGCACGTACTATGTGGAGGATATTATGGACTTGGTAATGTTACGAAATTGCAACGTCACTTACAGTCATTTTAGATGTTTTCTTGATAATGAGCCCGGAAGGTAGCTTGAGCTACCTCTTTGCATAATTCAAGGGGATTAACATTTGGATTTTAGTAGAAATAGAGTGTAAAAAACAAAACAAGTGTATGCTTTCATATTTTCGTCTCCTTATTCAAACATGAATGTTAAAATAAAATTTGCGCTAAGCGATTTGCTGGCCTATGTTGAACAGATATTCCTGCATATATTCTCTCCATTTCATTAACTGTGATGTTTAAGCAGTTCTTCTTTGCGATTATCCATCATTCATGTAGCCCTGCAAAGATTCTGCGGTATAGGTCCTGGCCAATTACAACATATCTGAAGGTGTAGGTGCCAACCGCGCTTACCTCGGGCACGGTGAAAAAGATTCACTACTAAACTAAATGACCTAAAATTCTCTTCGAAATAAGTGCGCAATCGAATCGCGACGATCAAGTGAGATTTACGGTCCAGTGCCTGTCACTCATCTACGTTTCCTTTTCGTCGCGAAACAGAATGAGAGTGTATATCAAGTGAACATCCGTTACTTGTGAGTTAGAGGCAAAAGCCGACGATGTCGAAAAATGCTTGCAGGTTTTTGGCGCTTTTACTTCCTCCATCTCTTCTTTGCTCTGAGACAAGGATCTCCTATTAATTTTGTTAAGGCAAAATTTTCACAGAAGCTTCTTTTCACTCGTAAATAAAAAGGATAAATGTTCTGTATTCGAAAGTAGGCCTAACATTACCGTAAAAATGATAAAAGCGAAAATAAGATAATCAGGCCACCATATTCATCGTGAAATACGATCGAGGGTTTCCCGGTGAACTCTAAATTACCTCGGAAACGGTTTGAAAGTCTAATTTAAATAAAGAAAAGCGGTTAGAGGAAAAAATAGAAATTTCAATGATGGATTATGAATTATCTAGAACGCCTAGGTTTAAAAAAACTTTGCCAGTAATAAAACAACCGCTCAAAATGTAATGCGGCGAACACAAATTAACACCTTGCCAAAATAATTTGTTTAAAGTGCCGAGAACAGTATCTACTGATAAGCACAATAATTACTTACTTAGATACTTAGATGGCCTGTCTCCACCCTTCGCGCAGGCCTCAGCATTGTTTCAATCGGTTTCTGACTATCGCTAGCGTCATCCACAGCGTTGGTAGTGAACTGCGGTGGCGACGTTCGTAAGATCCAGATCCACTAACCGCCACCAGCTGTGAATCCAGTTGGTCTATCCGTACTACGAATACGCCAACCCATCTGGTTGATGGCCTCCCTCGAGGAGTTTTGTGTCGTGAGAGATCCATTCCAGAATTCTTAGTGTCCGTCCATCTGTCGT